TTTATCAGTTAAATTTTGTCTACTCCATTGGTACCTCCAATTCCTCTTTTTTTGAAGGGCTTAGTTCTTAAGACCACACTGTTTCAGTATCAGTTTGGCTAAGAATTAGTAATGGAGTTAGAATTTTTTTAAAAGATAATATGCAGGGCCCAAAGGGCTTTAACATTGAAACACGTAATTCTTAAAAAATTTAAATAAAAATAGGAGGGACTGAAAGCACAAAGCTGCTGGTTTTCGGGTGTAAGCCTTGATCCTTCTGTAGGAGTTATGGGAGCATCTCCAGTTCAGGCGCCGTGGCCTTTGAGAGAAGAGCGACTTCAGAAGAAGGGCTGAAAGCTTTCATTGAAGTATTGAGGTAAGTTACTGAGTGGGTGGGTTTTGTGCTGGGTTTACTTTATCATTTTTAATATAAATTCTTAGTGATTGCTAGAACTTTTTTTTTCCCAACCCTTCTCATATTTGTAATGTATAGAAGGCTCCCTTATTTTTACATTACCCTCTCTCTGACTGTAATAAAGCACAAGCTCTGTTAATGGTGGGAGTTTTCACCAAGCCGAGTTGGTGCTGGAACAACCCCTGCAGTAGCAGACAGCTCCCTAGTGCATAATGGTATGGTGAACCTGCAACAGTGATATTTATTTTATTTAAACAATTAATTTCAGTACATTAACAACTTTAGAAATAAATTCAGTGAGCAGACTCCCTCTCCCTCCCCCTTCCCCCGCCCCACCCCAACATAAAAAGTGAAGTGTAGCTGGTACTAAAGATGATACTTTGTGTCATCGTGAGAATCTTGCACCTTTTGCTGCTTTTAATGGGCAGCTGTAACAACTAATTAACACGCTGCAGCAAGAAACACTTCCTAGTGCTAAATGCAGGAAGGGGAAGAAGCAGAGGTCTGCAACAGCCTTTTCCAGGAACTCCAGTCTCGAAGGGTCTGTCATGGAAGTATCTATGGAGATCCGTACCGTGCTCCGGGAACCTGTGACAGTGCTCCCCCCTCCCTGCCCCTTCCAGTCGCCCTCCCTCCCCATCCACCAAGCAAAAGCGAAGCAAACCCATTTGACTGTGGAATTTGGCCAGTGAGCGCTTACTAGGAATACTCATTGCTTCTTGCTCCCCAAGAGCAGCTTCTGAATTCACAAAGAGCCAAAATCTCAATCTAGAACAGTTGAAACTCTAGCATAAGGATGGGATTGATGAAATGTAGCCACAGACGACAAGCTCAAAGTAGATGTTCACTGTTGTTGAGAGATCTGTCCCTTAAAGTAGCATTTCTTTCTGCCACTATACAGAGCTGACCATAACAAACTTGCATTTAGGTGTCTCCAAACACAGGAAAAATAAACATAAAATTAGCAAACACCACATTCTAATTACAGATTACTTAGATTTTATGAACCAAGCATTTTAGTCTTTCCACAAATATAGTCATCCTTTGCTTTCTTCTTAGCGACAAGAAAGAGTGATTCTTTACCTTCATGGTTTCCTTGCAAGACTGACTGAAAACTGCTTAATTTCATAAAATGAATATACTGAGTAGAAATAGTAACTGCAGCGATGTCCCCAACTTGGGTATCACCTTGGGTTCTGAGAGGGCTAGAGCTAGGCCTAAGCAGTCCCTGCCTTCTTTTTTTAATTCTTCCAATTCCTTGATTTAAATTGGCAGCTTTAAAGGAGAAGACGGACTCCATTTCAGACAGCATTTTTACCTTACACCTGACATAACTGGACACAAATCTAGCCTTGGTACAGAACCAAGGGCAGCTGCAGCTGAAATAAAGCAGAATTGGTGAAAAACTGCCCGCAAGAGTAAGATGTAGCATTTCAGAAGAAACGCCGGCTGTCCTTGCCATCATAAACAAAGGTCTGAAATGAACAATCAAAAGTAGCTGTAGTTGCTCACGTTGATCTAAAGGGCTGATATAAAGGAAGTAGTCGCACGCAGAATGGATCAATTACTTTACGTTCAGGACTCATGTATTTAAATAAACCCCAGAAAACCTTCACAGAGGTATTCTTTGTCATTTAACTTCAGGAATTTTTGCAAACGCCCTGTCAATCTTCTGTGCCCTATGCGAAGCAGATAGCGAAACACTTTGTTAAAGACATAGCTGGGACTAATTATGTAACCAGCTAACTGAGAAGGCTGTGGCTAAACAGTCTTGCTGACACCCGTGATAAACTCAGCTTGCGGTTTTGTTCTTTTCTTGCAAATAGAAAGTGAGGTCACTTGTTCAAGACAGACTCTCTGAATGCTCAGGGGGAGGTGGCGAAGGGGAGTGTTTAAGCACGAGCACCAGTACTAAAGCCAGGAAGGCGGCACTACGCTCTGGGACACAAGGGGAGCACACGCACGCATGCCCTGAAACTGAGATACAGCACTTAAATCTTGTATCACCTTTCAAGCTCCTAAGCATTATGGAAAGAACTAGAAGCACTCGGGAAGGCAGGAATCATCCTCGAACAGCTGTAGCAGGAGCAGCAGCACCGTCTCAATCTCGTTTGCCCGAATGCGTACCCAGCCTCGCCAAGGGCCTATGCGAAATGGTCAGGGAGCCAGAAAAAGGGGTGTGATCAGCATCCCAAAACGTGTCGCGCAGTTATGTTGCGCTGAGGTGGTGTCCTGATAGCTGGAGTGAAACTGATGGCAAAGGGAAGAAACTGAGAGATGTTCTGGCTTTTCTCAGCATTAACAGATAAATGTATTTTATGTTGGATCCAATACAACCGTAAGGCAGGTATAAGGTAAATACAGTCTGATTTTAAGCCCCAGCTCTGAATGCTCTGTTACTTAGAGACTTTGTGAACTGGAAGGTGTTCCTTGATCTTTGGCTCTTCTAGTCTTTGAGAGTGATCTGTTTAACCCTGCTTTGAAGCTTCTTTTACTTTCAGCATCCAAAAATGTCCTCTACCAGCGAGTTCCACAACTTTTTTCAGGCTATTACTGTGTTTTACAACTCAGGGTGTCCTAAATCTCATGCTGTAAGACAGCAGTTATTCATCATCTCTGGGTGAAATGACACAGTGACGTGTTTGTTTCCAAATCATTTGTTAGCCTTGCTCTTTACAGGAACAAAAGTTGCTTGTAAGAAATTAAGTCAAACTTCAGAAGGCAAGGCATAATGCTATGCAATGTTTGACCTTTGGGGAGTTCAACAAGGCATCCTAAAAATAAATATCATTCTACAGCAGCATTATACATGTTAAATGCATGGTTTTTTACTGACTGTGAACTCTGTGTTCACATGTCATAAATGTAACAATTTATAGACAGACTGTACTGTCTTGCTTTTTTCAGGTTAGTTCAACCCTCTCTTATTTGAATACGCTCACCCTATTTCTGCTTTTAAGAAAAGCTCTCCTCTAAGCTGGTGTTGTTTGTAATCAGGCAAGACAAAAGGAACTTTTCTTTTAAGAACTCTCTCACCTGCACCACTCATGCAGTAACTTGGGGCCTCGCCCTATGTCCCGCAAATGCAGTATTTGTCATACCCCGCTTTAAGTTTGTAGATGGGGCAAGAGACTTCTTTAATGTCCTGCTATATCTATGGGAACTTAAAACCACACCTTCTTCCATGCAAGTAAACTTAATATTAATCTATATTAAAGAAGAAAATAAGCTCTATGTTTCTTGTGGAGCTAAAGACAGACAGCACAGGACGTTGAGATGAGAAGATTCAAGAGCGAGATGGCTTCAGTTTCTATTCCAAGGATGGTCTGTTTATTGAAAGCAGCTTTTGGGGAAAAGCTGCAGTCAGCTTCATCCCAGTTTGATGGGTGCCCCTTCCTATTCAGGGTGGGGCGTTACCCATCCTCTCACAGAGGTCATATTACCGCTGGTGCACTGCACAGGGCATGATCTATCCCTTCGTCTGCAAACCCAACCATGCCACAGATCTTAACTAAGCATTTTTCCAAGAACCACATACACAGAGCAAGATGCAGCAGGATGTAAATAAACTTCAGACACTGTTCAGAACTGCAATCCAGTATCTCTTTCCTGTCCCCTTGTACACATTTTACCTTTCTCTGCACCAAACAAATACACTAAACAGGGCAATTTTTGCTGATAGCTTCTGTTTTCATCTGTGGTGAGCCTGTAAGCAGTAGTACTCACTGCTACCACAGCTGAACACCGTCACTGGTTTAAGTCCCACAGGCAGCACCCAGACACCAGGACCAAAGCCTGTGGGAGGACCGAGTCAGCTGCACATCTGATGTTCAGCACGATCAAACTCTTCAGATGCCCCATGTTCACGTAGTCCGTGCCACTTCAGGCATCAGCTTGAGATGCCTGCCTTGCAAGCATAAAAGCCCTAGGTTTCCTCTGTAGCTAACAGAAGCTTCTGCAGAAGGATTCTGACAACCAGGGATTGGGAAAGCTGGAGCAACGATACATCTGACCAGCAGTGCAGACGCTTGTCTATGCTCAAGCCAGGTAAATTTTAGTTTAGGTTCTTGTGCTGTGAATTAGTGTACAGGAGTTACATAAAGTCAACGATTAGGCTTAATGTAAGGGCCTACATCCTTACTCAAAAGTTTTTCTTTGTATTGTTCCAAATTCTCGACTATTTGCACACATACTTCCTTCTGACTCATGTGAATTGTTTGATGTTCACAAATTGGCTCTGGAGGAAGCTGAGTTTTCTTCCAAAGACAAGTCAAATAGATAATACTTGAGTGATTTCAATTTCAAGAGCAGCCAGGGACTGGACCAACAAGTTCTGCAGGTTGCCTTTGCCAGATCTGCTCAGCCTGAGGAAGCCTGCGCAACAGCAACAGCCACCCGAGGGGAGCAAGCTCCACCCCACCAGATCAGTTCCTCCGATTACATCATCTGGCAGATAAAAAGAAAACACGGTCCTCATGAAACGCACACAGGTAAATGTAGTTCCTGAATGAAGCACGCCTTTAAGACTGGGGGGGGGCAGGGAGCAAAAAAGCAAACCACTTTATTGAATAAAGAATTTTTTTACTCAATTTTGCAGTCAGCCAGGAATAGTTTTCTGCCCATGATTATTTCAGCAATACTCATGTTTTACACTAATGGAGCTCCTGACATATTACAACTGGCCCTGACCAAAATTTTAACTTTTTTTCCCCCCTTAGTTTACCCCTTTAACTTGTTCCATTCAGCAATCTAGGCAGACATCCTTAACAAAAACATCTAATAAAGAAGAGATTACAGAGCATGCTATCTTATTCTAGTTTATAGAATGCAACACATGGCACATTAGGCTATTCCTTTCCAAAGGGACTACTTAATAAAAAAAGGAAAACAGCACCTATCTTCTTAAAGTGTATTCAAGTGAATATTTTCATAGGTAAATTTTTGCACTGCAAATTCAGATAATATCGTTGCAGCAGATGAGGGAAACATTATTTTAAAAAGTTCTTTTTCCTGGGAAATCCAAGTTGCTGCTTATTCATGAACTGTTGGAATAAAGACAACCATCCTTCAATACTTGTCTGTTATGAGACAGTGCTTGTCAAGAGGTCCAACTGCTTTTTAAGTGAATCTTTCTCTTTAATTAGTTTGGTAGCCTACAGGGCACAATTAGGTATTGTGATGAAGCTACAATGAATATGGCTTTCCTATGTTGATAACATCATTAAGTTTCACACAGGCAATCTGACAACGGAGGGGGTTACAATTCTGCAGATACATCAAGTAATACATCTTTGCACACATAGATTACATATCAAATTATTGCCGTAGCACAAACCTGTTCCATTATGTAGCTTATATAGGACAATTAGGACATACCTGCGCTACGTTATAGGACACACCTGCGCCCAAACCAAGTAGACAGGTTTTACTTAATACCACTAAACTTGTAGGTAGCCTCTCTCAAACATATCTAGCAATACAACTCAGTGTTCGAGTATATACTGGCTAGGAATGCATTGTAATATTTATGGAAGAAAGAGGACGGAGCTAAATACCAATCGGTACAAAGATTCTTCCGCGCCTTTCCACAGAAGCTGAATTGCAGTGCTGGAATGACAATTTGCTGCTGTGTTAGATTATTCAGTCGTCAGCAAAATTACATCAAAAGACTTACTTAAAATTCACAGTCAAGACGACAGAGGAAGTTTTTCCAACAGTACTAATTTTGGTTTCAAGTTTAAAGTAAAAGGAGGTAGCACAGTGAGGTTCAACCCGATTTTACTGATGCCAGGTATATTTGCCAGCGGCCTGTGGGTTGTCTTGTAATGTGATATTTGAAGAGGGTTTGTTTCCATCAGTATGTGTGTGTAAGAAAACATCAACTGGTCTCCTGGTTTAACATCTTCTCTTTTGTCATACCTGTAAAGAATAAAAAAGGCTTACTTACATTCCTCTCTTTATCCATTAAACGTCCCCACTATTGCAAGGGCACGTAGCATCCAAGATGAAACACAAAAGGAACTGTAACATTCTCAGTTATATCTCTTGATTAAATGAACTAGTACTTGAAGGAGGAAATAGTATTTTTGAAGAATTTAGGGAGCCAGTCATTCCACGCAAGTCTTTCTGCTGCTACTGTGATACAAATCAGGACTCCCAGAAAATTTCTCACTAATCCTCTATTTGAGTTCTGTGGAAAAAGGACACCAAAGCCTAAGACTGTAGAAAACTGGGCTCATTTTTAAGTTTTACTTGACA